AACACCAGCCTTATCTGCCAGCCATCATCAGGATCATCCATGAACACTAGTTCTGAGACATTTCCTTCCATTCCACTATCTATGTCTTCCCCCTGCTCCCTTACTTATCCACATACCACTAGTTCCAAAGCAAATTTTTCCATTCATGCAAGCTGCAGGAGTGGTGAAGCCATAGATCCGTTGCCTGTTCAAATATCTCCACATCTCCTGCTGTCACCACATAGTGCTTCCTTGAGCTTCTGTCAAGGTTCTTCCAGACCTGAGCCTTCTAAAACACTAGTTCCACAACAAGGTTCACAGGGAAAAAAATCTTCGATTCAACCACAATTAACGACTAACTATGTTCCTCCAAGCCTACCAATTCCAGCATGGACTTCTGAAAATGTAGAAATGGGCAACATCACATTACAAGAGGAAAAAAGCAGACTTCAAACAGAGAGTCCTGTAAGTGAAACATTTCTCAAATTATATGATGTTTGAAATAATTAACTATGCATGACTTTGAGTACTAGATTATGCTTGAAATTTAGTGGCTTGCATAACTTGTGCTTGTATATAAATAATTATTTAGAAAATTGAGGAATGAAGCAATAAAAGAATAGGAAAGTTTTATTTTAAAGGGACACTACAGGCACCCAAACCACTACAGCTTTGGGTGCATATTCCCAGGTCCCTTAACCCAGCAACGGTAATTATTGCAGTTATTAACTGCAATATTTATTTTTTTATGGGCTAACTCCACCTCTAGTGAGTCTTTAGGCGACTTTTGGTTGCTGCACATCCTCATGAGGATGAGGACATCCAGCGTCACCCGAATACACATAGGAAAGCATTCTATAATGCTTTCCTATGGAGGGAAAACCTAATGTAAATGCTGATGTCGGTGGGGGAGGAACAAAGACAGAGCCTGAACCAGTGCCAAGGGAATGAGGTGGGCTCTATAGAAACCAGCACCAAGGGGAGTGAGGGAGGCACTATATATCTTCCCTTTAAGATATTCTAGTCTGGCAAAGTATGCAAATTTAATTGGCTATATATAACATGCACATGTCAGGCATCGCTGGATTAAAAGCATATGAATGTTAATCTTCCATTAGATGCCCGAATGATCGTCATGGAATTGCAAAGTTGCAATAACATGGAAATGCAGGAAAATTAAATTACCTTTTTACTTAACTCTCTGGGGTTATTCACCTCAGCATTAACTGTGTTGAAAGAATAAGGAACTGTCAGTTCTCAGGAAAAAGTGGGAGGGGTGCACCCGTATAGACCCATGTCTTTATGAAACCAAAGAGAGTCCGATAAAGAGGAGCAATTGCAGTGTTGTCAGTCAAGGTGCTTTAAAATGTATGGCGCATAAACGGGAATTAGTCAGAATCCTTTGTGTTTTGAATATCATTTTATGAGTAAGCAAGGGGAGTTAGAAGTATGAATAAACTAGGAGTATTGGATATTGGGTGTAAGAAAAAGGGGAGGCGAGAAATGACTAGGCTGGCAACATTTCCTCTTTAATTCTCCTGAATACTAGAATTAGAGGGACTATCTGGTCCACATATCTGTGTATGTTAATTTCCTTGTCATTACTCACATTGTCAGTTCCCTTCTTTGAACATGTTTTTCTGTTAACCTTTAGTTACATTCTTCATAATATTATTTTTCTAACTCCTCCCCTTAGCAGTGTAGCTCTAGTATGTACTGAGCTTGGCCACTGTTTGATCAGCTGTTATAAGTTGAAGATTGATGATCTTTATAAGTTTTTAACAACGTGCTTTTTCATTTTTGACTTTGTATAATCTTTGACCCCTTAATTTGTCTTTGTTTTCGTTTGGGTCCTCCTTTCTCACTCATGTCATCTTTGTCCAAATAATTCTTTATAAGAATTCGCTTATAAGTTGTTGTTGTTGTTGTTGTTGTTTATTTATATAGTGCCAACAAATTCCGCAGTGCTTTACAGTTAGCTTTGTCTCATTTATTTATTTACGATATTGTAGGTGTTATTGTGAGCAGTGGTTGATTCTACCTCACTATTACATTTTATCCAATCCTTATTTATTCCCCTATGTCTCCCATTTGATAGGTCTGTGTTTTGTTTTTTTAAAGCTTTTTTTTATTCATTATAACAATCAATACAGCTTGTTTGGAACAGTTGGATTTGATGAAACCTAAATTTAACTCATGTAACGTAAATCCAACTGTAGAAAAAGGATCACTAATTTTATAAACTGGAACTAGACACCTACTACATGATCTAAGATAAATATGCATCTGCATAGTCAAAGCGTCATAGGCTTTCTCATCGCACACCAGTTTTGTTTTGTATGTGTGTTTTATTTTTGCTGTTGCACACTGGGTGTCAGCATACAGTACTTAGTACAGTGGCATGTTGATAAAAATGTTAAACTTTGACCATGTTATATATATTTTAGCTCAAAGACACCAAAGAACCTGAGCTGAATGATCCGTCACTGCCCAGTGGCCTTCCACTAGAACCAGGTAAAGCATGGAACACAGAAAGCATGGTTGAAAAGAGTACAGTAACTGCCAAAGAGGAATGCTCAAGCCCAGAAACGGTATTGTCAGAAGAAGCAGAGGACACCAGCTGCCGTGTGGGTTACCGGGATGTCTCCATTGAAGACTTCCTGAAGGAAGAGAAGCTCAAAGAATCAGAAGCAACTGATTTTAATAGTGAAGCTAAGGTTAGTATTGTGACAAAAGTCTGATCTTTTTTCTTATGTAATACAGTGAGTTAGTTACAGAATATCAGAACTATAGTGGTCCATAGATTTCAAGAAAAAGCTAAATTATTCCTCCATGGTCATTCAGGTTGCAGATCACACCAAAAAGCGCCTTTCCAAGCCAAGTTCTCTTTTTTTTTTTTTTTTTTAAGCAAATAGTAGGTTACTGAAGCCAGTCTTTTATATGCAAATCAAGAGGTGCTTCAGTTTTGTTTTTGCTATGAAAGTTGTTGGCCATTCATTTATTCTTTTTTTTTTTTTCTTTTCTTTTTTTTGCAATGCCTATACACCCTGTTCCAAATTATTATGCAAATTATATTTTTCTCCTTTACCTAAATAATTGATGTAAATAACAGTCAGCATAATTCTCATGTTATCAACTTTTAAGAGTACAATTCAAATTTTATTGAACAAACCTAATGATAACAGTATTTTTTTTAAACATATACTTACAATGCACTGTTCGAAATTATTACGCACAGTAAGTTTCAAAACACTTTATAGGTTGTAAAGAACTGAAACTTTTAATTTGTTGTGTGCAGCATATTTACTGAAATCAAAAGCTATTTAATTCAAGCTTATAACAAGATTTTAACTTTTTAAACATACAACAGGTCACGTTATATTTTAAAAGGACACTATAGTCACCTGAACAACTTTAGCTTAAT